GAATAATAATTGTTCCGGAAGGTGGTCTCTATTTAAACCCATACTTAACTTGTAGATGTTTCATGATCGAGGTTTCTCTCGAATACCCATCGCGACTTCCGCTTCCAGTTTTTTCTTTAGTGAACGCCGCCCGTCCGTCGTCACCGACGATGAGTCACCCATCATCGCCATACGGGGGCGGCGTATGGGTTTCTTTCGTAACAATATCTTTATCAAGAATAATGCGTTTATTAGTTCTATTGTATGAGAAAAAAAACATTTTTAAATAATTTATCAATGTGTGTGGCAAAAATAAAATTTTCATTTAAACATACGCATAACGTAACAACTGTGACAGCTGCCGTCAGAAATTTTTGAATTTATTCATTACAATTTAAATCGTTTAAAAACTAAATAGATAATTACAATTATTTCTTCAATTCATTCAATTTAATAATAACATATTGTGACCGTAAAACCGTAGAATAATTAGCGCGAGCGTTTCATTTATCATTTATCGAATACAATTTATAATAAAATTTAAAACTATCATAATTCAAATATAATGTTATTTATCATCATCTAGGCGTATATTTATTATTGTTCATTCTTGCAAATTCACTATGTGTCAATTACAGTGTAAAACAAATTAAAAAGACAGGAAGTCGAACAAAACTGCTGAAAAATTAACATAGTAAATAGATGTAAAAGAAATGTAATAAAACAGATATAATAAAAACACAAAACAATAGAAAAAATAATAACTTCGTGTAATATTCAGCTCCCTTTTTTTACAAACACATTTCAAATTTGCAGGAAGCATATCACGTGTACCACAAACAAAGCGTGTTTATATCGCACTTGCGTATATGTTTTCATTGAATCATAATAATTTTTCGTATTTTGTAGTAGAAATCAATGTTTTTTTACAGTTACAAAGTTTTTGACTTCTAACGTTAAGAACTTTAGAGTCCAATATCCAAAGTCACAGTCTTCAAGATAGGCAAAGATGACTCTGGTGGATTTTTTAACTTTAAATTTACAGTGATTTTGAATTCGATTATCTCATTAATTATTATCAGAAAAGAACGGATCTAAAATTATTTAAATGATGATCTCTTGCCCCTGACGCATAATCAATTCATCATGCATGTTAAAGTGTATTTTTTGTTAAAGAGTTGTAAAACATTTTTCTTAGAAGACTACAGTCACGTTAATGTGTTCTACAAATTATCGAGGATACTAGAAGGGTCTTTCTGAAATATTACAAAAATTAGAGCTTTTACAAATAACAGCGAAAACTAAAGGCATAGTAATAAAATAACAGTAATTCCTCATGTCGAAACATGTTTTAATAATCTCAGTTAGTTTTTGAGATATCATAAATTTGTTGATGTTCCGAAATCACTAACAAGTCTAGTTTCTTAGATCATTTGTAGGCTTCGGATCTTAGGTTTTTTGCGTTTTTATATCTACTTCAGGCATTGCAGTGAAATTTATATATTTATCCGAATTTAAAAAAATTCTGTTTATTTAACGCCCATTTATTTTTACCTAAAATGCCTAATTTACCGTTAGAGAGGTAAAGTGTTAATTAAACGACCTAACTGTAAATTTTAAAAGACTTAAAATAGGATTCCACGACCAACGAAGCGGACGTGCTTGCACAATAGGGATTTTCCGTGAATTCATTGTTTTGGCTGGCAGATTGTTTAAAAATGGGTTGTAAACAACGTCCTTGAGTTTAGTGGTACGGGTTGGTGTTGCCAACTGACATTTAGATTATAGCCGGAAGGAGGTGAATCTCTGAAAAAGCATTTTATTTTATAAGTTTATTGTTAGTGATACTGAGTGTCTTTGCGTATTAGTGAGTGTGCTGGGGCCGGTTTTGATTTTTGTGCATACAGTAAAGAACCCTCAAAATGCCTAAGGTAAAATCATCCATGAAAGATAAAATCAATTTATGGTTAGGGAATAATTTGGACCAAATTTTCAATTTCCCTCTTCAACCAAACACAATGAGTTATTCTGCAAAGTGTGTGTAAAAGTTCTAAGAATACATTTAAAATACTGAAGCCTGAATTATGTTCACATTTTTGTTTCCTAGTTTAAGTGCGAAAAAAAATCACACTTTGAACAACACTGCATTGGCGATGCACATAAAACGAACGAGAATAAATCCAGTAAACAGACTTTATTAAACATTTGTTGCGACAATGATTTTACGCAATTTTGCACCGACTTATGTAGGACATTTGCCGCAGCAAATATTCCATGGAACAAAGTTAGTTGTCCTGAGTTTAAAAATTGTATACATAAATATACAGCAAGGCATTTACACTCAGAAAGCACTCTGAGAAAAACTTATTTACGAAAAGATTAGGATATGGTGAGCACTAGAATTTTTATTTAAAAACTTTTTAACATAAATTTTATAATTTACAGGTAATTGAACAAATTAGAAATTCTATTGGCAATAATGATATATGGATTAGCGTCGATGAAACGACGAACAGATTATTAAGATACATAGCCCATTTAGTAATTGGAAAGTTATCTTCTGAAGAAGCTGGCCGTCCTTTCCTACTAGCTTTGAAACAGCTTGATAAAACTAATAGCAACACAATCTCGAGATTTATAAACGAATCATTGGGTGTACCATTGATAATTTTAAGCAATGAAATTATTATAATTTATTTAATTGTTAATTTATAGCTTTATTGTGGCCAAAAGGAACTGAACACACAAAAGTTAAATGGTTTGTATCAGATGGTGCTTCATACATCATCAAAACTGGTACTAATTTGAAAGTGTTTGCTTGCTTTAATTTGATCGCCATTTTTTTGCGATAACTTAGAATTAGTGGATGTAACTATAGATCGTTTGTTTATTTAATCATTTTTTTGTTTGTTATACAAAATATTTGTTTCTATACTGTTTTGTTTAATGTTTTTTTTTAATATATATATTGTTTGATGTGTGCTTTTTCGTTGAGCAAATATTTTTTCCTCCAGGTTTTAACCTAAGCTAAGATTTTTATAACCTAATTCGTCAATTTTGGGACCTAAAAATGTCTCCTCTATTCATTTTTTAACGACCTAAACTTTTGACAATGCCATTAACATTTTAATAAAGACTGTTATATTAATTTAATACGTACACTGTGTTCCCAGAATGTTGGAAAAATGAAATAAATGTCTTCTAAAAGTATTCTAAAAAAGATGGGTGGATCAAAAAACGCATATTATTTTGCACAATTTAAACAGAATTACTTAACAAGCTTTTAAGGCGAAGTCATCAAAATTTTGGGGTTGGGCAAAAAAAATCGATTAGCGAGTTGTCGGGTTGATGATACCCTCAAAGCTGTTCTTATTTTAACAAAGAAAATAATATTCTCCATAATTTTTTTTGGGGGCATATCCTGTACAAACAATTCAAAAAACTAAAAATATATTACCAATAGAAAACAACACTACATTTTGGTGCATATTTTTTAACAATTAGATAGTTCATAAATTCTAAAAAGTATATGTACAATATGCGCACATCATTAAAGAGTAAAATCCATAATTTCACACGACTCTTTTAAAACATACCAAACCTTCGTTTCAAAGCATGAGAAAGCGCAGTACTTTAACAAACATCTTGATTGATATCAATTATTTAAAAAAACTGTATATAACAAGGCCAAATCGATATACCTACGCTTATTATTTTTGTACAGCCTTCCATAAAATTAATATGGATCTGTTACTGAGTTTTATAGAGACGGAATTTAATAATACCTTTGATGTCGGCTTACTGATTACATCAGAGGCAGAACACAGTTTATTCACATCAGTGCTTATATTTTAGATGAAATTCACGCTACATTAAGAATTTCACAGGGAAGTCATATTGACTCTGATTTTTTTCTTAGCAAAAATGACGTAACTGATTGCTTTAATTAATATTGCAAATTAAATATATTATCTACAAATTATCTAAAATTATTTATTTTTAAAGATATATACTGTGAATATTTTTAATGTGACTTTAAATGTAAGCAAATGTAAGGCAATTTCATTTACAAAAAATATGAACCTGAGTTAGTTATATTTCACGTGGAAAATAAATTTATGAACTGAGTAAATTTTACTTGGGAATGTGGAGTCACATTTAATATTAAATTAAAATTCTACATTCACACAAAAAATTTATAAAGCTCAGAAACACGTAGCTTTACACAAGCCTGTATAGTGAGTGTAAAAACTTCACGAACTTTCAATCTGAAATGAAAGTCCACTATTTCCATTTTTCTTCTCAAAGTGGCTATGATTTCATAATTAATAACTAAGGCTCGGATAATATGCAAACTGCAATAAGTAGCGACCTTTTCTAATAATGCGGACGGGTTTTTCCAAGACTTCATTTATGGACACCCCAACTGGGCGTATTACTGAAATTCTTTACTTAACGGCCTCTAAGCCGAATCTTGTAAATATAGATAGTTCTGTAAATGTATTTAACGAGGGGTTGGAAGAGATGGAAAACCTAGCATGGATTTGTAAGTATTTCATTCTTCGGTTTCCAAATTCATTCATCATTCGTTTACGAACTTGACGACAGAGTTAGTTCTAGATGGAGATGGTGTTTTTTGCAAACCTTGCGGCAAAGCAGTAAGTAATTTTTTTTTTGCATATTTGCGCATATTTACATGTTTTTTCTGCATATAATTCCGAGCTTTATTTACAACAAAGTTATTCTCATCTACTTTTTTCGACGTTTGAATGTAAAAACTCTTGCCTTAATTAGTTACGTTATACATATTTATCAAATATTTATAAACGGCTTTTCGATCAACGTTCATTAAACGAACTGAGCAGATTACTTATTGATATCCGAGGATACCGTTTGCAAACATAAATTAATAATGACACCAACGATTTCAATTAAATGTATGACATTTGCAAATATTTTTCTAACAATAATACAGATGCAATATTAAACCTTTCAACTAAGAATTTCATAAATTAACATACCACCATCTCGATGAAGAGGACTTTAATTAGTCCAGTATTTCACGTGCGTGCCAAATAGCTTTCGATCCTTTGTGCTGCTGTGGAAACCATCTGAAAGCCATTCCTGCTGTTGCTTGCTCCACATCGTTATCGCTTGATTTTCGTACATATGCTACAGATAGCTTTCTAAATGTGAGCTTGAAGGTGTATTGTGTCACGTGACTTTTGTGATAACAAGTTAGAGTCGAACATCTTTGTAGTAACGTCCATGTTTTGATTACTTTGTGGGTTTGGCGGTCTCTTTCCGCTAAATCCTGCAACAAGAAAAAACTTATATAAGTATAACTGGTAACGTATTTCACCTAAATTAACGGTTTTTACAAAACTGTTATCAGTGCGTGCCCCTATCAAAACAACAAGTAATCGACTCACAGAAACTCGACCAAGTTTAGTATCTGTTCACAGTGAATTAAGTATGCCAGACTCATATTAGCGCCACCGACTTCGAAACTTTTCTGAATCGCATTAGCAGGAGTTGCGCTTCGAATTTAAGGCCTACAGGAATACTCCATTGGTAGTCGTTTCTACCACAAGTGGGTTCTCCACCTTTCTACTTAATTGACATGTGACGCTTTGAAGACGACAAGAGTAAACAACTTGTGTCTCTGCAGCCGCAGATCGATATTACGGTCAATGGGAGCAACTCCCTGGCAAAAAAGGATGTCAATAGGAAATATCTGCTCGCAAAACGTTTGCTGCTGGAATGTACGCAACGACAATCAAGGCAATTTAAACGATATCAATTTTACTCGAGTAGTTCAACTTCTATTATGAACAGTTTCTGTTTTGAAAGAGGGGTGTTGTTTACCGTTTACGGCAAACAAATTAATTGAATAAACGACAACTGTCAGTCGACTAAATTTTATAAAGTTTGTCCTTAGGTTAATTGAAAACAAACTTATTTTCTCAACAATTTACTCAAAAGCAACAAAATAACCAATTAATCAACTTTCAACTACAAGCATTTGTAACAAAAATACATCCAGAACAATACAAACAATTATTATTTCGCTGCGTTTTCTAATTATCAATTTCAACTTTTACTGTCGTTCCAGTTAAAAACGCGGTTGCAACCTTACCTAATTAACTTGTCTCTTAAAATTTATGAGATTCATTTATACGTTATTACAAGTCTGTTAAGAAGAGTATTAACCTAAAGGGTAAATCCCTGCTCCCTAACATATACAGTAATTCCAAACTGTAGAAATGTAGAAGCGATTTCATTAAATTATTTTACAATATTCGATTATTGTAATAACACTGAAGTCTTATAACTGCATAACGGTGATTATAAGTCACTGAAATTAACAATATATGTACAACAAACTACAAACATTATTGAAATTTCAAACAAATTTCGATGAATTACCACTTGAACCGTAACGACTTCAAAGACTGATTTACCTTTGCCGTCAACGTGTGCACGTATTAATTATACGCGAATAAATAACTTCAGTTACTACATTTTTAAATGAAATTCTACTTAAATACACAGTGTATGTCCCCGGATTGAGTTCACAAGAGGCAAAAAAAACTGTTTTTCTATTTTACAAAATAAATAGACAATCAAACCTACATCTGCGAGTCTCCAGCAGGGATAAACCGAAATAAGTTAAGGTATTTTCATAATTGTCACTAGAATAAAAAATATTAAATTTAAAACATAAAAACTTAAAAAAATTTTTCTGTATATTATTGAATCGAGACCAGATGACGGTACAATACTCTAAATTTGAACAAACTAAAGAATTGTAAAGTGTTACCGACGTCCGGATATTCTTAAATTCAGTGCACGATCTTAAGATAAAACCAAGGAGCGAAAAGTACGACTTTACAATTCTTTAACATTTACTACATCATTAATATATCTAATGAACAAAATTGGGCCCAGATGGGAGCCTTGGGGCATACCCTATGGAACGTGAATTGCGTTTGATTTAATTCCGTCAATTTCTACGAATTGTTTTCTACCACTCAGGTATGATTCTAACAATGCTAGAAGATTATCAATACCTAGGCAATATAATTTCAACAGTACCTAATCTTTTTATGTGAAAACCACTTTCCAAGCTGTTTAACACATAATCAGCAAACACAAAAAGATTTGTCATGGTTGAACGGCTCTTTATGAAACCATGTTGTTCTTCAGCTATTATTTTTCGGGCATTAAAAGAAATAATATCTGCAATTATAGAATCTAAAACTTTGGCCACAGGTGATGCCAGCGAAACACTTCAATAATTTGAAACCTCACACTTAGATCCTTTTTTGTGAATAGGCTTAAGTACTCAACGGAAAACACATATTTTCAGTACATTCTTTCAAAAAAATCACTGGTATACCGTCAAGACTTATACCTCAAGAACTTTTTAATGATTTCAACTTATTAAGTGTAATTTTTTCGGAGATAGTGACAGAGTTTACATCAATAACACTATTTAAGGAGTTGGATAAAAAATCGCAACTATTGTGATCTGTTGAATATACTGTTTGAAAAAATGAGGCAAATAAATTTACTATAGACTGGACAGTGTTCGCTCTTATATCACTGTGAAACATTTTATTGGGAATATTATTTCTATTAGATCTATTGGAATTAACAAATTTCCAACAATATTTACAATCTGTTGTAATTTTTTTGTTCTACCTTTAGTACATATCGCTGTCTACATGATTTAATAGCATCTTTATATTTTTTTCTTAGAGAACTAAATGCTAGATAGTCAGCCATTTTATTAGTTCTTTTATACATTATGTGAGTGCTCTTTTCACCCAATATAAGTGTCCTGGTACGCATATCAAACGATTGGGGAAACTGATAATTAAAATTAGTTTTTAATGGTACCTACATATTCAGCTATTATTGAATTAATCTGACCAGTCAATTAAATTTAAGATGACTATTCCATTTGCCTGTCATTTGTAAAAAAATAGACCAATAGAAATACGAGTTTACACCTCTGTTACTATGGTTTCAACGAATTCTACCGAATATTCCACAAGTGGAAATATCATCGGATATATCACTAGTGGTTCAGCGAAGATTTTTAACAAATAAACATTTTCAAAATTAACAACAAAACATATATTTATTAAATATTATTTTTTTTAATTTTCCGAACTCGCATTTGTTGACATGGAAATCGAATCATGTCTAAAATTATTTTGAATATGTTTTGAGTCAGTCTGAATAAAAAAAGTGTTGGTTCAAGGCTCTTTGAATAGTTTACCGATTATCAGTCGTAGTCCAAGTTATGTAGACTATTTTTCCAACTGGTTTCACTCATTCAATTGTGCTTGTGAATCTTACTCGTGCTAACGCACTCGTGGATTCATTTGCAAGCCCTATTATTATTATTATAAGACCCACTACTGACCCGGAAATGACCGCCATTCAGGCAAGACTTCTATCATTACGGGTACTAAGACCAAGTAATGATATGCCTTGATTAGATCAACAAAACAATTTTCGAGATTCTAGAATTACAGCATACAAATTAGTCTGCTATTATTCCCTAATCTCACCCCATCCCCAAAAGTCTAGCGTAACTACCGATCATTTATCCGCGCATCACTTGAAAAGTGACCTACACTACTCTGACCTACTGGTGCTAATCTAATCTGACTGACATGATCAGACTGTTCGAGAAACTTACGAACAATATGGCATGTTCCTAACAAAACGGCTTTTTGAATTTTGACAATTATTGAATCATTCAAATGCAAAGTCTTTAAATTCTCAACTAAGCTATTTGGGACTACACCTACATTAGATATAACTAAGGGTAGAATTGAATTTTTTTCAACATGGATTTCATTTCTATCGATAATTGTAGATATTTTGAAATCTTGGTATTTGAATAATGTTGTTTGTGTTAGGAATAGCAATGTCAATGAGAATGGCTTCGTTCGTGTGTTTTTTGATAAGTATGATGTCTGGTTTGTTAGCTGTAATGTTTAAGTCTGTAGGTATTGTGTGATCCCAGTATAATTTGTATTTGTTATTTTCAAGGAACAGAGATGGAATGTAAGTGTAATAGGGTGTCGTATCTTCGATTAAGTTCATAAGTGTTGCTAATTCTTTGTGGATGATTTTGGCGGCGTTGTCGTGTCTAGCTTTGTAGTCAGTTTGTTCTAGGATGCTGCAGGAAGAGATTATGTGCTGGATCGTTTCAGGTTTTGCTTTGCAGAGGCGACAGCAGTCGTTTCTTATGCTCGGATCTCTGATGATGTATTTTCTGTAATTCTTGGCATTAATTACTTGGTCTTGAATAGCAAACACAAATCCTTCTGTTTCGGCATACAAACTTGATTTTTTAACCAAATCAATGACATCTTCTTGTTGATATGAGTTTTTTCTAAGTCTTTCTAGAATTTTCCATGTAGTTGTTTTTGTTTTAGCCCACTTATTATTTTGTCTATTGTGTGGGGGGTGTGGATTTCTTCGCTGTTCGACAGATTTAAGGGTGTGTGGTTCAAATCTGCTCTTGTGATGGTGCGAAACATTTCATTTCTTTCCGCTCGTTTCAAGAAATACTTCTTCAAATCTGAGATTTGTCTCTGATATAAGTTTTCTAGGTTCTGGAAACCCCTTCCTCCATTCTGTCTTGGTAATGAGAATCTTTCAATGGACGATTTTGGATAATGCCTTCTATACTGTGTGAAGATTTTCTTTGTTGCGATGTTTAAATTTTCAAGATCAGTCTTGGACCATTTAATGACTCCAAAAGAATATGTTCGCAGTGGAACGCAGAATGTATTTACTGCTTTCATTAAATTTTTTCCATTTAACTGTGTCTTCAATATTAAATTTAATCTCACTAGGTATTGATCTTTCAACTGTGTTTTCGTTTTGGTATGATTGATGTGGGAGAATTGACAGAAACCCAGATATTTGTATGTATCATTTCGTTATTCTGGGTTATATGTGGTACTTGGTGTTGGACGCCTTTTCTGATTGCTTGGGTCTTACATTTCTCAATACCAAAAGACATACCAATATCACCGGAAAATTGTTCAGTCAGATTTAATAGGTTTGTTAACTGATTTTGTGTACTTGCATATATTTTTATGTCATCCATATACAGCAAGTGACTTATTCTGTTTTCTCTTTGTTTGTTAATTCTTATATTGAACCCATAATTGCAGCTGTTCAGGATATCGGAGAGGGGATTCATTGCTAAGCAGAACCATAACGGGCTAAGAGAATCGCCTTGAAAAATTCCTCTTCGGATCATTATTGGATCTGACTAAA